TTACCAACGAATAGTGGGATTGACCGTCACATTATAACGCCCCCACGACTGAAAGGGCGAGCATGTTTGGTGTGACAAAGATTCGAACCCACGACCCTCAGATTGCGAGTCGAGTGCCTTAACCACCTGGCCATGCCGGCCTCTAACAATTGGGGAGATGGGCATTATCTAAAAATAGATTCCTACTTGCTTTAGAATGATAAAAATTATCTGGGAAATACTTCTCAACTGAGTAATAAAAAAAAGGCTAACGTTGAAAGACTATTCGTAATGGCTCAGTTTTCTCATGACTCGATAAGTCTGCAGGCTTACAACGCTGAAAATCGGGTTTATATAGCCGTGGTGACAACAAAGCCTATTATGTAGTTTTACGCTTAACAACAACCAAACCATGAACTAGGAAATACAAAACACTTTGTAACATTATGAAAGTTTGTTTTGTTTTTTATTTGTTGAATTTCGCGCAAAGCTACTCGAGGACTATCTGTGATAGCCGTCTTTAATTTAGAACTAACTCTTGAGCTATTCTTTTACCATCGAAAAGTGAGGTTGATCGTCACGTTACGCCTCTAAGGCTGAAAGGACTAGCATGTTCAGTGACTGGATTCGAGCCCGTGACCCACATAATGCGAGTCCAGCGTCCTAACCAATTAGGTCATGCCAGGCTTTTACTATGAAAGATCTAATAAAAAGATGTAAATGAAAAATTATTTCATAGAACTAATCCAGATTTATTTATTAACTCATTAACCGAGAACCTCACTGAAACAGAATTAATATTGGAATAAAGAAGTACAAACTTAAAGCGTAAACAATTTCAATACGAACACTGCACAAAAAATACATGCAGTAGTATTCATAAATACTTTCTGGACAAGCATTTCATAAACTTAAAAAAGTTCAAATGTTCCTGGAAAGGCACAACACTAGGATATTATTTCTATGCTATGGCTATATTTGTTTGTAATTAAGCACAAAGCTGCACAATGGGCTATCTGTAAGTTGTAAGTCCGCAGACATGCTGCTGTGCCAGTAGCGGGCGCTAACTGCAACAAAAATCAAACAATCGTAGGTGCTAAGATATACACTACATTTATTAATAAGTGGTAATCAATCCTTTACAGATGCGCAATAACTTAGTTAAAGTTAAAATATAGATGGACTGTTTGAAGATTTTGAATTTTATATCATTATAGATTTTCTACTATATAATTAAAGTTTCACAATAAAAAGGAAACTGGTTTTCGATACCCGTGGTGGGCAAGAGCACAGATAGCCCATTGTGTAGCTTTGTGTTTAACTTCAAACAGACACAGATGTACAACGATAAGGTGTTTGTTTTAATGTAAACTATACAATAGGCTATCTGCATTTTGCCTCCACGACAACGGTGAAGATACTTGATATATCAAGTTTAACCTGTATTCACCTGTGTAATAGCATTTATGATGTCAGGCAAATACGTAGATTAAAAAATATATATATATTAAAGACAAAAAATACAAAACCCTATAACACGAGCGCTTTCGAAAGACCTTTCTTCATGATTACTTTATAATTTAAAAGCATATGTTTATGCGCAAACAAGTACCAAACGTCACTCACCTATACATTAGTCTTTAATTTCACACTTTATGTCTTTGATTTTGATTTTTTATTTAACTGAAAATATTTCTTGCTTTTTTCACTCTTTCTCTGTATTTATCTATCTATCTATATATACATATATATATATATTGCGTAACTTCATATTATCCTTGTAATTAATGATATTATATTATTTAAAAAAAATAGCGCCCTCTTTCCATGACAGGCTAGATACCGTACCGTAGTGTTTACGACGGTGGTTGAAATTATTGAGGATAATCTTGTATTATTTAATACATTAGACAATACTTGATCATGAAATGTATGATTCAGTATCTGTTACTGCTACTGATTTTTACAACTTCGTTAATAACGCACGGAAATGGTATGTGTTTTGATTACCTGATAAGTGATAAATGTACGTGTTTATATAGGATATACTACAGATTCACACAAGAAACTGAAATTGAAAACTTTGGCAAGGCACTGATCAGTGATAATGATAACCTATACCGTTATGTAGCATCATTATTAATTAAACAGCAATGATAATATTTGGTTGTATTAAATTTCGCTATAATCTTATATAAATATATAGATTGGTAGAAACAGAAACTATAATTATAATAGAAAATAATTTTATAATAGCTGTATAACTTATGGTGTTCCACCATACATAAATCATGTTTTTTTTTAAAGATACATTAGCTCAGTGCTTCTCAACGTTTTCCAATATCATTCACTCCTATAAGTTTTTCACAACAGCTCACTCACTCTAGTTCGAAAAAAGACTAAAAAGTACTAAAATAAAATGCTAAATTCTTTATTATGACTTAAATATACACCAAACTACAACTAGAATGAATACAACATAAAATAGATATATTTATCAGGTTACAACTATAATAAATATAATATCTCGTTACTTTTTTTGCTCTTGAATTTATTGTATAATTGATAATATTCATTCACCATGATTCTGATTTCATTCACCCATTTGAGAAGCACTGCATTATCTTACTGTACAGCTTTATGAAATACCTTAAATAGAAGTTTCATCAACTGAAAAATTAAAAAGTTATTCATAGAGATTAAGTTTTAAAAGTTTAAATATAATTTCAAGTTAATGACATATGACTATAAAAATTTGTCATGGCAGGAAGCCATGACATGATCGCCTACAGTTCTGTAAAACAGAAGCAAAAACTTATTGTATGAATGTAAATAGTATTTTTGTAAAATAATTATCTTTGTAACCATTGAACAGAGCTTTATAACTTTATCATTCAGTCATTTCAATTTTTACAGCTTCTTTCTTTTTTTTTCTAAAAAAGTTTAGTGATATTAATATATACTCACTTCCAAAGCATGACTGCTTGAAATTCCAAACCTTTTAATTTATTTTGGTTATGGTGCACTGTATAGTAGGTACAATTGTTCTAAAGAAATGAATAATTAATAAACAAAAATGATATTTTATTATGCTAAAAAATAATAAACTGAACAACTTGCATGTGTTAATATAAAGAAATGTTTAATGTCATGATTCATGAAAATGACCAACTTAATGAAATTTGGTTAATTAGTGTTAATTGAAGTTTGTTCAACTTGATTAATTTCATGATTCATGAAAATTATCAACTTAATGAAATTTGGTTAATTAGTGTTAATTGAAGTTTGTTCAGCTTGATTAATGTCATGATTCATGAAAATGATCAACTTAATGAAATTTGGTTAATTAGTGTTAATTGAAGTTTGTTCAGCTTGATTAATGTCATGATTCATGAAAATGATCAACTTAATGAAATTTGGGTTTCCATTTATTACTATTTTTGTTTATTCCATCCATCCAAAGAATCAAAATATCATCATTATGTTGTTAAACATAAAATTACACAATGGGGTGTCTGTGCTTTGTCTATCTTTGGTTTTTAAGCCCGACTTTAGGTTTTTAAGTTGTGTTTTAGCCATATAATGTGAGAATAATTGACCAGTTGAATATAATCGATTAGTGAGCACAGTGATTAATTTATCAACAAATTCCACTAATTGCCTAGATTTAATAAGGAGTAGTCCACCCTGATGGTACTCAAACTGAATATAGCCTTAGTGATTATGAGCTGAATGTAAATTAATTCTACTAGCTGTAAATGATGCTGTAAACACTCTTTGTATTATTTTCTAAATGTCAAAATATTAAATTTGCACCTTCTACTAAGTATGTTAAATGCTGTATATATGATCTTATTCAGTCGGGCTGGCATCTGCAAGCCTGGTCAGTGCTCAAGAGGCTGGAGATTCCTTGGAGGGTGAAGATGATGATGTTCAGGTGGAAATGGATGAAGGAAGTCCACTGCCAAATGATGATTCAACCAGTGTAACACAAAAAGTGAGTTAAACTAGATCCTATATGAAATATCTGGACTTTGTACAAAGTAGATAATGGTTTTCACCTTTGGTGACGATTCTACCACAGTGAGTACATAATAACTTTCTGCATACTTAAATGATGTTTGAGGTGTAATTCATGATGGTTAGTGAGGGGGAAGAAAACATTAATTTTGTGAAGTAAGACCTAGTAACTCAGTAAATAAAATTGTTATTAAGGACTTTTCAGTATACATGTTGTGGAATATATTGTTGATTTTTTCCCTTTAAGATGACAGTTTGTTAAACGTTACACCGCAGTGTTTAATCATAGATCCCAGTGATACTGTAGAAGTCAGAATTAAAGGGCACTTCACCAGTATCAATTTGAAGAAACAGTACCTTCTGGTATATATTTAAAAAGTCATTGTATTTAGTATCTAAACTTTATAACTCTAGCAGAAAAAAAATGTAATGATAAACTCCAGTTTAGGCTATTGAAAAAGTTTTTAAAACATTTTGACTACACATTGTCCAATTTGTAACGAGTCAGCAACCTAAGGCACATGTGCCACCCTGTGGCACACAAAGAGATTTTGTGTGGCATGCTAATTAACAGAAAAATAAATACAAAAAAAGTATATTTTTTTAAAGAAAAGAGTAAAATTCTTTAGTTTACTGGTGCATATACAAGACTGTTTAGTTTAAGAGTTATTATTTAGTTTATTTAGTGATTTAATATTTAATGATTATTTACGTTACATAACAAGAGTGTTAAAAGTGATAGTTGTGACAAGTTTCGTTATGTAACTGTATGAGTCGCACTTTTTGTCATCGTACTCGAAGCTTCTAAGTTTTTCTTGTTAAGTGTCATATTGCTTTACTAGAAGGCTAGATGTTTCTAGATTTTTCTGTAGTGTGTTAAAAGTTAATTATTTTAAAAGTGATAGTTATGACAAGTTTCATTATGTAGCTGTATGAGTCGCATTTTTTGTCATTGTACTCGAAGCTTCTAAGTTTTTCTTTTTAAGTGTCATATTGCTTTACTAGAAGGCTAGATGTTTCTAGATTTTTCTGTAGTGTGTTAAAAGTTAATTATTTTAAAAGTGATAGTTATGACAAGTTTCATTATGTAGCTGTATGAGTCGCATTTTTTGTCATTGTACTCGAAGCTTCTAAGTTTTTCTTTTTAAGTGTCATATTGTTATAACTAGAGAGCTAGATGTTTCTAGATTTTTCTGTAGTGTGTTATAAATATATGCAGATACAGAGAGCAAAGAAGTTGGTGAAAGTGAACTTAGACTGCGTGTCAGTTTAGACGCAATGGGCAATTTCTAAAGTGAGTTTCACAGCTTGTATTGTAACAACAGAGTAGAGGAGAATAATTTGTTTTGTAAATGGGTGTTCTAAAGTAATTGAACCTGTCTGTATGGACTTTGATGAAAAGGAGGCAATTATTTAAAGCTCTGGATACAAGTGTTGTAACCAACAGTTATAGTGGTGATTTTAAAAGTGAGTTTCACAGCCTTGCAACAACAGAGTAGAGGAGAATAATTTGTCTTAGCAAAGGATGTTCTAAAGTAATTGAACCCGCCAATGTGGACTTTGACGAGAAAGAGACAATTATTTGAAGCTTTGTTTGTGTTGAAATTTATAGCCAACAAGTCACAGACACCTATTGTAAAGAATCACGGTGCTATAAAAACCTGAAATTTACGATTACTACTTTATTACGGTGTTAATATACCATATTTATGTATTATTATAAACTACTAATTAGGTAATCATACTACATACATCATAAGATTATAATATTTTAAACCTAGATAAAAAAACAATGGTGACATGTGCAGAGGGTCTTAAATTTTTAATATTGATAAGTGGCACCTAATAGAAACACATTGCCTACTCCTGATCTATAATATTTTATTCAATTAATGCCCACCCTGACTTTTGCTCACTTTGTTGTCATTAGGGCTGGGCATTTAGTGAAATTTGATGATTGATTAATCAGTCATTAAGCAATTACAATCAACTAATAGATTATTCTTCCACGAGTCTTGGATAGTTGGAATAATTAAAAATAGTAATAATTGGATGTACTAATTTTGATTTGTTGATTATTTTCGTGAGTTGTGACACTAATTGATTAAGCTTAACAACCTTGAATTAATCAACAATGATAATGAAAAAATCATAATGGCAATATTTTGATTTCTTGGATAGCTGTAATAATCAGAAGCTCTAGTTTATGATTAGTTAATTATGTTTGTGATATTAATCAATTTATTTATAATTTTAATTAATCAATTATTTTATCTTACACGAGTTGATGTACTCAAAGCTTGTAGGTGGTTGACTTAATCGTCTAGTTCTAGCTGTCATACATCCTCATTATGATAATTTGTTTAATGTAATGCATGTTTTGTGTTGCTTTCTCAATATTTTCTTGTTTTTCATTATGCTTTTCTATAAACAAAGCTGATGGTAAAAAGCACAAAATCATCAGTATATTCTGTCAGTTTGACATAGTGTTGTTTTGATTCATTTTGGGATTTTAGGTGTGTTTCATGTTTTGCTTTGTCACTATTTGTTGGCAAGCATCATCAAGGTTATATTTTAGCTTCACCTTAACATGTGTATTTTTTATCATATAACTTAAACATGTACATCTTTAGTTTATTTACATGGCCACCTATTGCTGTTTTGCCTTGAATAACATTTTACATGATTCTAAATGAAAAAAAAAGTTATGTTAAAGTCCATTTTTAGCTTCTTGTTTGTCTTAGCCCTGCTGATAAACTGTTTGATGACATTTAAACTTTTTTTCTTTACATCTAATGGTATCAGTTAAAATGGAAACAATTTTTCCTTTCTCCATTTGCAAAGAAAGATGTGTGCTTAGTGGTGTTAGGCAAAGATGTGATATGAATTTTGTAATCCTAAACGAGCAGAGTGTTTGCTATGATTATTAGAACAAAGATCTTAAACTAATTTTA